TGACCCATACCCTACAACATTTGGAAGGCGAAGTTGGAAATCTGACTGTAAAAGAAGAGTCCTCACTGCCAACCAATCAAAATGCCAGGACACTATTTTTAAGAAATCAAATCCATTCAATAATTTATGATGTCTAAATCTAAGGACGTACGATGCAGATTTCCAACAAAGGCAGATGAAGCAATAGAATTGAATATAGCCATTAGTCAAATGCTATGAAAGCTTAAAATAAAACTTCGGCTCTCTCCTCTCTCTCTCTCTCTCTCCCTCTCTCTTTTTTCTTAAATTCAATTTGAGTCTTGTGAAGGACTGAAATGAAATAATCCATAATCTGCAATTCAAACCAGAAGGTTTGGAATAGTTTATAACCACAAACAAAAACAAGCCAATTAAGATGGCCTCTTTTTATAACCAGAAGGAATTCCAGAGAGATGTCTTTATCCAATCACATGTTAACAACAGAACTACTCCATCTACAAATTTTGAACTTGCAATTTTTTAATATTGCTGAAGATTTACATCATCCAGTTTCTTTGGTCCCGTCTGTTAAGTTCATACATTCTTTCTCAGGAATCCCATAAAGTCTCAGCTAATGATTAATATCTCTGTCATGGTTCATGTTAGGTACAAAGAACTGAATGAAAGTCTACTAACGAAGGTAGGTTATTAGATCCTTCTTCCAAAACATCACCCAAAAGATGGCAAAAGCAGGGTCCATAAGAATCTGCTAGGAATGTGAGGCACACAAAATGATCATTTATGAATGTCTTTCCTGCCAGAGATACCACAGAAGTTGAAATAATTGTGCAAAAAATTCTCAGCAATTCAGAATCTGAAGAATGCCATGAAGCTCCTATGCAACTCATTTAATCTCCTTGTGCCTCATTGTCCTCATTTGTAAAATGAGGGTATGGACTGGAGCAGGAAAAGGATCTTTTTGTACAAAGGTCAATATGTGAAAAAATGTTAGGGTGCTACACTTTGCTTCATTCCAAATGAAAATAGTTTATGGAGTAGCAACTTGGATTACCACTTTACCAAATGGAAAAACACTCTTTGGAAACTATGTTGCTTTAAGCCAAGGAAATGTTGATATTCTATCATGTTTAGTAACAGTGTGAAGACAATGTTCTTTGTCTTTGATATCAATAACCTTTGATATCAGATTTAGGGAGGAGCTATGGGCCAGAAGAGTCAATAGGATAAGTGTTAATAATCATTGCTATTGTCAGCTCAGAATTAACATCACCTGGACAGCTTTTAAAAAGAATTCTTTGATTTTCAGGTCCAGATCCCACCCAAGAGTTAAATCTCAGTATGGAGGTGTAGACACCTACTCATACTTCAAAGTTCCCCACTGAAAATTTGAGGCCCTGTTCTAGAATAACCTTTGTGAATTACTGTCTAGAAGATTCTAGGATCCTTTTGAGCTCCAGATGACAAATCTACACTTGTTCTGATATCAGGTAATCTCACAGATAAATGTCCTTGATTATACTGTGATGACCATTTAAGTCCTCAGACTTTGGATAGTATTCATGTATCTCCTGGGCTGTCTGAATCCTCATTAAACATCTCACAGTTTTATCAGTTAAAATATGCTGAGAAAAAAATGTATTCTGTACTTAGGTGGTCAAAAACTTAAATGCAGAGTGGGAGTGGCAAACTTACATGTCAGTAAGACCAAAGGTTAGTATGAAGATTTTAAAAAAAGGAAAGGAAGAAGAAAGTAAAGAGGGTGTGAGGACAAGAGGGAGGGAAGGAAATAGTCTACTAACTGGCTGCATTCAGTTTAGGGCCCCAGATATATAGATTTTCTAGTAAAGCAAGTATGTAGATTCACTGTCTGAAACAAGATGAAAAAAATTTGGAGTATTCTGAAAAATAATAGGGACCCAAAGAATGATAAGGGAGTGGATGGGTGGATGGAAAAGAAAGGAAAGAGAAAAAGGGTCATCCCAGGGGTTGTCAGTCCTCTTTGTGGCTTGGCCAAAGAGTCATAAAGCTAATAACCAGATGGAATGCAGGAACCAACATGGCTCTCTATGGTCCCCATCCCACCTTCTCTTTACTTCACTGTACCACCCACACTGTAAAGGCAGGAAAAGCAGCAAAGCATAAATTTAGTTCATTATCAATCTTCAAACCAAGCTCCCTCCTCTGTCCCCCGCTGAATAGCTCCAGGGTCTGGCAGCCAAGAGCCTTCCTCATTTGGCTCCATCCTTGTCTCCCGACTCCCTTTCCTGGTCACTTGTCCCAGTCACATAGTCACTCCACTTTAAGTTATTCAAACTCCTATTATGCTGAACTTTATTCTCTCTTCCCATTTTATTTCCCAGTTTGACATTTAATTCCTGGAAAGCCATGGTAGTACATGTCTAAATTCTAGCCATTCTCCAAAATTCTGCTTAAATGGCATCAAAGTCATAAGCCTTCCTCCCTCCCTTCATTTTTTTTTTTTAAAGATTTATTTTTATTTATTTATACAAGCACTGGGCACAGTCAGAAGCGCGGGAGGGTGAGAGAATTCACCAGAGCCAGAGAGGGGAGCAGAGCAGGCAGAAGGACCGAAATATACTGCTGAGGGGAGCAGCAGGCAGCAGGAGAGGTCTGCGCGCCAAGTGGGACCCTCTTCCGGTGGTGGGGGAGCAGCCGGGGATCAAACCGGCGCCGCAGAGGCAGCGGGCAGCTTCGCAACCCAGCGCTCAACCGCCGCGCCACCGGGGAGGCCCCATCCCTTCATTTTTAAGTGAGAGAGGACTTTATCTGAGTAGAGCACTGATCTTTTGTCATCTAGTACTGTAATTATTATTACCAACTCTCCTGGTTGGTAAGCCATGGGACTCACTAGTGGGCTTAGATATTTTTGCATCTTCCAGAGTGTCCAACACTGTGCCGGGTAGACATAAGACACCCTGTAAAGGACCTCCCTGGTGGCTCAGGGTGTTAAGCATCAACACTATGAAGGTATCCATAGCTGCTGCAGCATGAGTTTGATTCTCAACCAGGGAGCTGACCCACATAGCACAGCAGACCTCTCCTGTCTTGCCCTATGCTCCCCTCAGCAGTGTATTTCAGTCAATCTGCCTGTTCTGTTACCCACTCTGTCTCTGGTGAATCCTCTCACCTCTGCCCCCACATCTCTGGCCCATACCCCAGCTCTTGTATGCATAAATAAATACATCTTTTAAAAAAAAAATCACACCCAGTAAATATGTGGTCAGGTGATTTGCTGATTATATTGTGTGGTCATTCATTCATTCATTCATTCATGCAACAAAAGAATAAATACTACTTGTTCTGAGAGTATAACTAATACCCTGAAACTTATCAGAAGTTTCTTTTGTACTTTCTACACCAACTGGCTACTGCATAAGGAAAAAATCCTTGTGACGATACAGAAGATACAAAAGCAGGAAAAACTGATTCTGCAAAATTTGCTGGCACTCTCCTATCAGTGAATAACAAAAAGTTCCTGGGTTTAAAAAGACATTTCATAATATTGGGCAATATCACATTACTTATCTTCAGTAACAGTTCATAAAAATATGTATTCCTATTCTTAACATTAAAAGTTCTACTTAAAAGTCGAGGCTATGGGGTTAACTCCTAAATTTATGATACTAACCCTAAATAAATCATCTTCTTTTTCACATGGATGATAGCTATAATTAGCTCAAGAGTTTGCAAAACCATGAGTCACAGTGGCAAGCAGTTGATCTCCTTGTCCTATCAACAGACCCAAACAAGTAAAAAATACCTTGTATATTTTTACATAGAGTATTTGTAAAACAAATATTCTAAGCAAATTTATGGCTTTGAAATGCACTTTAATATGAAAATCTGGGTATGATTTTTCCTAATAAACATAAATGTATGGGCCCAAACATTTTACATACATATATTCACATCAAAGATCTTTTTTAGTCAGCACTCATAGCAGATATCTCTACAGTAACACAAGACTACCCTAATTTTATAATGCTTGCCATCTTTTCCCATCCCAAGCCCCTGACATCTAACCATTATATTAGTTTGTGGAACAATATGCTTGCTGTATCTGGCAAGAAACATGACTTACTATGTTTAGATTAAAATTAATTTCATTTTCTTGACTCTGTCTCTCACTGTCATTTTACTACAATATAGACACATCCCAGGTTACTTTGTAAGAGAAAAAAAAATTGTTTTATTCAATTGCAGAAGAAACTGCACAATTTAATCTGATGACTATGTGGAGGAGAAAATATTTCCAATGACGACATCTTCCAATGTCGATTGATTTTATTGCAGATGTCACCTCTGTGGGCTCTATTAATTCAGTTCTTTCTTCTTAATTCAAGATTGTAATCTCAGATTGTTGCTCTAACATTTTATTGGTTCAAAATACATGCTGTAAAAATCCGTGGCCATCAAATTTTCCTGTTAGCTAAAAATAACCTATTCCTGTCAGTTAGAATTAGCTGATAAAGAGTGTCAGAGCCTGTTCTGAGTAAGTTTGATAACTTCCTGTTTATGCGGCACTGACCCTTGTCTAATAAAGCTTCTTTGCCCCAGAATGCAAGGAGATTCTGCTGCATTCTATTCCTTAATGGCCAATACTGATTACTTTTGAAAGCCTTTAATACATTTCCCATATTAGACATGAACAGATGTCAGGTATGTTGCCAAGGGAAATTTCTTTTATGCAATCTTGGCTTGTTGTACAATAATAGCCCTTTCTCAACATGGGAAAAAATTACAGACCCAACTAATTTCCCTGACAGGGGAGAGTTACATATGTTTTCCACTTGTAGTTTTTACGACAAGTTTACAATTTTGCCAAACCTGGAACTAATTGGAACTGTTTCCAAAAGCGGCCCAATAAACCCCCAAAAGTGTAGAGCCATTGGAAAAGGCAGCCAGGGATGGTTTGCTTTTACGTTTTCTCCATTTTGGTCAAAGAGGAGGGGAAAGTTAAGATTGCAAAATTATTTCATTTAAGTTGCTTAAACACTTACTGTTTCATATCCTCCCAGTTTTTGAGCAGCTTGAAACATAGTCCAAAGGTTAACTGTTAGAGGGACAATAAGTATTTAGATAAGCATTGCATTAACATATTTCCAAGAAATGTCAATTAAAACATTTTGTTCTGTTTCGTTCTGATTTTTTCAATGAGAAAGAGAAAAAAGAAATACTGACGTACCCCAGAGAGCAACAGTCTCAGGAAACAATTTGCCAAAGAGCATTCAACAATAGGCTGTATTATTACCACTTAAAATATTTCTTAAGAAACACTCACAAATAGGGAAATCATTCTACTTTTAGGATGAAGGACAACAAAGTTCTAGTCCTGTTGCCATCAGCAACCCAAGAGAAGCCAAGTTGCAGCATCCTTGGGGAAAATATGGGATTTCAAAATCGGGGTTGGTTGCGTTCAACCCTTAGAAAGAAGCCATTGATTCAATGGTGCTACACAATGCTTGCCTCAGATAAGGACTATCCATAATCAATAAATAACAGCCCCTTTAATGTGTGATTACCTTATCAACAGAATGTCTGATGGCAGTGCTATATGAAATATTAAAAGTCTTGTACCATATTTCACTAACACACAGTGACTTGCAATGAGTAGAAAAAATAAATATTCACACTTGAGGCAGCTGTGATACAACAGATCAAAGGGAAGGAAGATCGTCATTCACAGAGGAATCGAGTCATGAGTCCATTTAGTGCCCTCACTTGCCTGTGTGATGTTGAAATATATGGATATTTTTAAAACAGATTTCCCTTTGCAGGGTTTGCATATGTTTATGTTGTTAAACAGCTAAGAAAAATTGCTAGTCACCCTGTTCCATTGTACTAAAATATCATGGAATGGGATGGTTATGGATTTGGTTCTTTGACAAGTGAGGGAAATTGAATTTCAAGTAATCCTTGGTAAGGGAAATGAAAAATATATATTTTTTTTTTTAAAAAAAGGCTCTTTGACACAACATGTTCGAAAAGCCTCATTGAACCCTGCACTATTTCAAAGCTATCTTGGCCTTGATTTAATCTGAACCAATGCATAATGCAACAAAGCTGTTCATAGTACATTAATTTTACTTCTATTTCAAGCAACCAGTTTTCAGACAAACATTGTAATCATTCGTAGTTATATAAGTTTATAATGGCTGCGAGTGTTCTCTTGCAATCAGTGCCAATTGCTATTAGGTATGTAAATTGTTATGTAAAACATACAGGTTTGACATTCTTCATCAAAATGACACATGGTTTTAATCTAGGAAGATACATTTGGAGAAATACTATTTCAAGCAAGGGCTCACTGCTTTGTGTGCCATGAAATCCAGAAGCAAAATATATATTCAGTTGTGAAATCAGGGCAGGATCTGGGTTTCTTCTCTTATGTGGAATTCCGCTCAGCTATGAGTTCCCTGTTCTACTTATAAATATGATGACACTTGAATGTACTTGTCAAAGTGATTCAAAATGGGGACCTCAGTTCAGATCTGTGCGCTTGCTTCCTCTGAAGTCAGGGTTTTGTTATCTCTGAACAAATTTGGGGCTTAGGCTGTATGTTTTCTCTTTGTGGTTGTTTTGTCCACCTTTTCATGTCCTCCTTTTAAAAGCTGTCTTTTCACAGGCAACATCTGTGCCTGATAAAGCTACGTCATATTATTATCTCAGAGGCAAGGCGTTGCAGACACTCAAGATTGACAAAACAGAAAATGAGAAACTTTCAACATGTCTATTTCCAGTCATAATCAGTGGATTCAAGCCTAAAAATATCTCACTGCAACTGTCCCAGAAGGGAACAATGTAGCGGAAAGAGGCAGGGAAAAAATTCCTGGCTTGGATGATTCGTAGATTTAGTATAAACAGAGCATCATCCCCAGATTAGGATTTCAACATACTCCTGAGTCAAAATTGTTTTCCAATTCAAAGAATCTGAGCAGTTTTGATATTTCAGAAATGAAAACAAGTATACTTACTCTGTTTAAAACCTAAATAGGGTATTCGTTCTATCGGTGTTTTCCTTTCTTTCATGTATTTATAAAGTGACACCAGGAAGGCCTGCTCATCCGCTCTACACTCGTCACCAATGGCAACCTTTGGTTTTTCTTCATTTGAGACTTTTTTACAGTTATTATGGTTATTCTTCGGCTTGGTCAATGCTGACCTGGCCTCACATTTCACCTGGAAAAAGGAAAAATGGCCACATTAAATCAAGCCCAGCCCAGGATTGCTTACAAAGACATAGCAAGTGACACTCTGAACTGAGTAGGAAGGCTGAACCTGTAAATTACCCTTGCCCTGAAATAGCTTTTTAGAGGCATCACTGAATGTGAATAGTCTTGAACTCGGGTGTGTGTGTGTGTGTGTGTGTGTGTGTTACATTTCCATAAAAAGCCAGATAGTAAATATTGTGCTTTGGGGGCCATCAAGTCTCTATTGCAGTACTCAACTCTAGTAGCAAGCACAATGTGTGAACCCATGGGTGTGTCCATGTCCAATAAAACTGTATATTAACAGGGGCCACAGGCTATGGTTTGCCCAACTGTGCCAGACTTTTTTAGATGCCTTACCAGGAAGTTGATGTGAAACCAAAATGGGTTTCCCTGTGGTGGGACCATTCTTCTACCTCTTTGCATACTTTATTTTTCCTAAGGGACTAAAGCTGTTAATATCACTGAAGAAACCTGCCTTCTTAATTCATTGCCCCTATTTTGCAGTTTGTATCAGAATGAAAGAAAGGTTTATTTTTTCAGAGTAAACTTATGGTGCTGTTCCTTCTTTCAGCAACCTGGAAAAACATGTCAATGCCAGCGGATACTGGCATCAAGGATGCCAGCAAGCTCCCTGCTGTACCTGAGAGGACCAGATACCTCCTCAGCAGGAAACGGAGGATCTCATTCTTTAACTAGAGAGTCTTGCTTTTCACTCAATTCTGAGAATATAATAGATGCTAACTTGCCACAAAGGAAAAAGTAGAGGTCAGTGAAAAACCCAAGAAGAGTAAGTGAAAAGCTTCACAATTAAAAAATAAATGGCGTTAAGTGTGCATGTGGACCTCGGTGTAGAGCGGCTAACCTCACACTCCCCCTCACTGCCATGTTCTCCAACAGGCCTTTGATGGTTGTTAAATATAATGCTAAGTTGCTGAGCTATTTTAATTGTAAAAGGGGGAAGTACAAAGGGTCAAACTTGGAGTTCAAGTGCGCCCGTGGGGAATGTGTACATTCCAATATTCTTTACATCTCCATATCCAACATCGAAGAGAGGAGGGCAGTGCTAGGCAAATGTTATGAATCAAAACTTCCCACATATTTGACGTTTTCCATTTCAGATTTCTGACCCCTTTTTCTTTCCCTTCAGATTCTTCTTCCCAAACACTAACAACATAATAAGCTCTACTTATTTATTACAGGGAAGTGTATCCTCAGTAAGGGTTTTCTTTATTGGTTTTTCTCTCAAGTGAACATGCTATTTAATATCTTTAGACTGGTCCTAGAAAAATAAAATTTCCCATACAACTCATTCAGCTGGGCCTTTGATAAGATTTTAATTTTTAAAAGGCTGTGGAAGTGGATTAAGACCCTTTCCAATGTAGAAATTTTACTTAGAACATTTTTAAACGTTGGTAGTTTGTAACATTATATTAAGGCAAACATCTTATGAAACTTCATTTTGTCATTTTCCACTGCAAAATTTTATAGTTGAGTCTAAAGTTCTGATGAAGTCTATAATTTAATGGCTTTTTGAAATCACAAAATCATTCCAGTTTCAATTGGCATTGCTTATCCCTAAGCCCTCAGGGTTTTTTATTTTTTGAGTGCATATTATATAGCCAGGCTCTTTCTAAGCATTTTTTTAGGTATTATCTTCCTTCATGCTCACAACCCTAATGAGAAAACTGAGAACAGAGAGGGTGAGTAACAAACACAAAATCACATGATCGTGCACAAGTTTGTAAGTAGTGAGTGGAGTCTGACCCAGGTAGTTTCACTCTAGGGATTATGGTTTTAAACACTATACCTCAGTGACACTCTTACAAAAATTTTAAATTATAACAGTTGTGAAGACACACTTCCAATTAAAAGAACTTATCTTATTACTAGGCATTACAAAATTTACAGCTTAGAGATGTGATTTATCACAGGAGAAGAGAAAGATAGAACCAGGTAGTAGCCAAAGTATAAAAGGGCTTCCTCATTCCTTCTATTACATGTTGAACAAAGGGAAGGAATCAAGTATCAATTGAGTACCTTAACTGAGCCAGATCCAACGCTGTGAGATTCATAAAGTCTATTTAATGTCATAGGAATCATGGAAAGGAGGAACTGAATCGTATTTTAGAGTTGAGGAAACTGAAGCTGAGCAAAGTTATGTATTTTGTCATTTGACTAGTGAGGGAAGAACTCTGGGTTTAGAGCTTAGGTCAGCCTCACCCCCAACTCTTGTACAATCAGCAGTAGATGTAAGGTTTGCATGCAAAACCACCGGCTGTCTTAGATTCGCAGTGGAAATGGGCCAATTATCTATATTCTTGGGTCAGAAGTATCACTGTAAAGGGTGTATGAGGTTTACCTAGATAGCTGCCTAATTTTCTGCCTCACCTGTGCAGAAACATCCAGAAACAGAAGATAGAACAAAGAGGGTACACAAGCCAGATCCAAAGTCACTTGACTGCCTTCTTTGCAGCAAAGGGTCCAGATAAACACAAACTGCTCCTGGGGGCCAGCTGCTTTGTAAGCAAACAATGGTTTCCTTGCTTGGACTCATTCCACACATTTCTTCAATTCACATAAATGAGCCCTTTAGGGTATTATTTTGGTCTTGGGTAGGACCAGGCCAAAATCTTTTTTCCATTTTTTTTTTTCACATTTACTCAAAACAACCTCAGCCTTTTAACCTGTGAAATATCAAATAGGAGCTAGTCTGTGTGTTGACCTTAAGAAAGTCCAAACTTTTGATGGTGACAGTTAGCTACTAGGTCTGTTTTCCCAACCTGAACACCTCACACATGTTGATTTCACTAAGAGTTTTGGGGTTTACAAAGTGACTGAACAAGTGCTAATTAAAGAATCCACATTTAACATTTTCATTGAACCATCACCTATTTGACATTAACCAAATCCTTTTCCTGGATTGAGTTATAACTAATCCAGACTCAACTGGGGCATCAAGATGTGCTGAACCAGCAGGAAAGAAGTGGGAGTCTAATTTGAAATGGTCACTAACTTGCTAAGAGACCCTCATTTTCTCCCTCAGGACATGGGAAGAGTTAGTTCTGGGGGGTAGCTATGAGGACCAAATGTGATGAAAAATAATGAAAATATCATATTTGTGAAATATTGGAAGTCTATCTTGTGACTTAAATGAATGAATTTATTGCACAATATGGTTTCCCATTGTATGCTCCTTGAAGAACATAAACCATCCCTTATACACTTCTGCCTCTGGAAAGTGCTTACAGGAAGTGAAAAGTCATCTGCCTTCTATCAAGGTACCTTCATTAAGGTACTAAGCAAAGATTTCTCTAGTGTAGATCACCAAGAAATGGGTTTGGGCCCCATATCTGTTGCTGTAAAATAACTCAAGAGAAATTGAAGGATTTGGGTTGAATGCATTCATGATATTTCTAGAAAAATGGACACATCCATGACATCATCAAAGATCTGGAAGCCTCTTCCCCATCATGTGACTGCTGTCTTTGGAAAGCCGTGAAATTCTCTGTCCCTTGGAAAACAGAACCTTGCAAAGCTAGTTTCTTCTTCATATTGAGACAGTGTGACATTAATGGTGACAGGCAAATGACTCAATTTGTTTTAACAATTATGCACACAACATACCCTATGGGTGCTCACTCTAAGAACTTTGTTCTGTGGAGCTACGGGAAGCTGGTACTTGTCCACAGTTAGAAATGGTCTGATTGAGGCAGTATTTTGAAAAATAAAATCATAAAAGTCTTGGTCATAAAGTCAAACTACCACCTAAAATGTTCCAAGTTCAGCAAATGATCAGATGGTCATAAGTCTGTAATCTCAACTATAGGGTCTCCTAGAAAAAAAAAAATCACTTTAAGACACCAATGCCTATTTAATCATTGTCCTGGCCTCAATGTGGCCAGGGGCCATTGGTAATTCTGTAGCAATTTTCCATCTGTCTGCTGGTGCCAACACACAAGTCCACCATAGTTTCCCTCTAGCAGTGTCTCTCTTCTAGATGAAGTGGCTTTGCCAGACATTCTAGAAGCAGCCAAGACAGGACTGTAATCTGAGACTCTGAGAAGAGCTGGACTTTCAGACAAGTCCCCAGGAGCCAACTGCTGCGTGACATTCATCCATTCACCACTGAAATCAAAATGGAGGGATGACTGAATGGCACACGGATAGGGTAAGTGGAAAAGGTCACTTAGAAAACCCAGGCTTGGCTACTAGTCCTCTTAAGAGGGATACATCAGTGAACATCCAATACAGGGGATCAGACTCCCTTTCTCTTCAGTTTTGTGGGTCCTACTGTGAGTCATGACCTGTCTTTGATGAAAAGAGACATTGGAGGCGCTGTTCTTAGAGATCGAGATCGTGTCTGAGTTCTGTAAGCCTCCCAGAGGCATACTTTGGTAGCGATTCCAAATGACAGGAGAAGGAGCTTCATCCTGCTGGGCTCAGGTACAGAATATGCTGGGGTAAACACATGATGTCACCTCAGAGGTATGGGGCAGGACGCCAACACAAGACTTTGGCAGCAGAAGCTCTGCTGAATGTTATGATCCTAAAACCTCGTTGCTTGATTCTGCAGTATCTTGCAAATCACATCACAGGGAATAAACTCTTCCTGCTGACATCCTTTCAAGACCATGAAAGCTGAGGCCCTTGAAGGTAGTTCTAGGACTTACATGTCCAGATTATCAGAAAAAATGTCATTCTTGGTATCCACAAGGACTCACTCATAGAAGGTTAAATTAGCAGAACAAAAATAACTGTAGAGAAAGATGGATTTGTTTTTAGCCAGAAAATGCACATTTCTAGTGGCTCATTTCTTTTTAACCCTTTGCCATCTTGGAAACATGAAGAAATATTAATCAAAATGTCTTCAGATGAAACAACCATCCCTGGAGATGAAATGTATAGAAATGCGAATGTCTAGGATTTACTTCATTACACTGGGAGGCGGCGTGAAATACATGGCAGTAAAAGAGGAGATTGTCAACACAGAACTGATTCATGTTTTTCTGCATTAGAATCTTCTAAATTCTTTTAGAATAACCAAAACTTCCATTTTGGGAAATTTAGTCATTGGATCTGGAAGTGAGGTGTCAACTGAAATCTTGAATTCAGGTTCTAAAGAGGCTATTGCTGTCATTGACACCGACACAATACCTAGATGCAAACACTCAGTAACAGTACCATGGAAATCTGACCCCAGGTCACAAAAGCCAAAAAGATAAGTCTAAAAATATGAAGTGACACTTCACCCTTCCTGGTGCTGAATACCTCAGGCAGCCACTTTCAAGATTCCAGAGAATGTGAAGGCACAACAGGTCCAGGCCCTGAATAAAGCCTAGAATTTTTACTTCCATTCTGCATTCATAGAAAACATAATTAAAAACTTATAATTGTATAGATGGGTATATGCATGTACACAACTAAATATTTTGCTGCGGTCTTTAATTTTACTTTAATGCAAATTATAGGTGACTTTGAAATAAACGTAACTAAAAAGATTGACTCTAGTCATTTCTAATTTCATTCTCTGTTAATCTCTGAAACATATTTAGAGAACATATTCAGAAAGAGGATGGTTCAGCTGATCTATTTTTGACACAAGCAGAGTAAACTATGTCATTGTGTCACCTACTATGAAATCTCAGCCTCAGTGACGTGGGCGCTTAATCATCTGTCCTTTATGCAACAGGCCAAATTGGGAGGTGGGAAGTCTTTCTGTTGTCTAATCAAAATGCCTACAGTTCCCCCCAGCTACAAGGGGCGGGGAGGGGAGGTGGCAGGAACATACACAGTAGAGAGCTGTGAATACCAAAGTCAGATTCTGAATTGAAAACGACCAGCAAGACAGAAGATCAGAGAGATAAAGAGAAAAAGGAGAACTAAAAAAAAAAAAAAAAAACACAGCAAAATGAATAGCATGGAAGGAATGACCATACCTTGGCAATGACTTTGCCATCGGAATTGCTGTTTGAATCTTTAACACCACTGAATGAATCTCTTCTCTGTGGGCATGGTTTCTTTTTGCGTGGTCTGCCTTTAAGATTTGGCGCTGAAAACAAATGGAGAAGAACAATTGAGATATATTTTCATTTTCATGGGTTTCCTTATTAAAAACCGAGAATCTTCCTATAGTCATCCCCTCCTATTGTTCAGAAAAATGTACACATCTGTGACAGACACTCTCATTTATGCTTCTCTCTCTGACAAGCATCTTGGTAAACCATACATTTCTATGTATGTTTCCCCAAGTGATCTATTATACTTTAACATGTCTCAATAACATAATTAAAATGAAGCTCTTAGTTTTAAAAGATGATGTTAAAGAAAACACACGTCCCCATTGTTAGAAAAGAAAGAAACAGGTTGTACTAAAAGATAACCCTGAACCAGGCTCCAAAGATCAGTCTTTGTTTTTTGTTTTCAGAAACCTAAGTGATAAGCCAGCCCATCACAGAATTACAGCAATGTAACATTTGAAAACATCTCTCCTTATAAGTGAAGACCTGAGCGTTATCTCAAATTGTAATTAAACAGAGATAGCTATAAAGAGAGACATTCATGATAACGACCTGAAAAATATTATTATTACTTGTATTTACTAATAATGCCACCAGCATGTTTCAAATCTCAACAAACCTGGCAAATACATTGAAGTCAGCCTATTCTCTTATATTTTTTTATGAAGATCTGGAGGGTTATTTAAAATAACTTCTGAAGATCATCCTGAGGTTAGCCTGATTCTGTGGAGATTATACGGTTGAAAAGCATAGACAAGATGCAAATCAAAGTTGTATTTCATCCTTGATGTTAAGCTTGATTGTCTATAACATTCATAAAGAAAGGGGAGGGGGATAAAGCTGCTCTTTACTGAGTGCAACGAGTGTCCGGCATCAGCTTTCACATTTAACTTCATCAATCACCGAGAGTTAAACACAATTTAAACAAACCAACTAACTAACTAGCCCTTCCTTGAACAATTCCAAAGGAATGAATTATACCTCAAGCAATTTCTTTCAGTTCTTTCAAGGTACCCACACTTTCATTACTTTAAAGTATGATTATGACAATGCCTAATCTAAACAACTCAAATCCTCTTAACTATTAATCTTACTTAAGTCACTCCGTTAACCAGTGGTTTACAGACATTTTACATTATACTCATCTGACAAACACAATTAATCCCACTAACTTGATTTCCTACTGAGGATATCATTTTTGCTGTTGGTAAAACTCAGAAAAGCAGAACTGCCTTTACAATCACGCAACAGTTTAGAAAGTGGTTTGGGGGCTCAACCGGCCCCCTCCCAAATCCACTTTCCTCGCATTTCCCCAAAACATTTGTCTGAAAGTTCATCGTAGGAAGCCAGCCTGGAATTCTCAAAGGCAAACAAGCTCACAAACAAGAATCTAGCGAAGAGAAAGTAGCGATTACCCATTCCAGTCGACAAACATCTGCCTGATGATGTCTGTGCTCATGAAAGCTACAGCATGTGACTGCTTCCCGGCCACGTCCCTGGAAGTCTGACTTGACTTGGTGTGTATGTCAGCTTCCCTCTGAATGCAAACCGTGAGGCTCAGCGCTCTGCTTACAACTCCCCTCCCCCGGCAGCTCCATTACTCATGTAAACACACAGCAGTGACTAGCACGGAGTGTGTGGGATGAGCTCTGAAGACTTAGCTGGAGTTGCCAGACTGGCAGGGAGGGCTCTGTTCTCTCCACCTCCCTGCACGGGGCTGGTGATTTCATCCAGCCTCTTTTGTGGATCCTGACCTCCTGTTCCCATGTCAGAGCCTAATACCACCTTCCCTGCGTGGCACCCACCTCAGCCTGGAGCCAGGGCGTGGACTATTTTGGTCTGGAGACTGTGTAGCACAGAAGTGTTTCCACAACTGACCCAAGTGCTAAGTCTGTAATGACCGGGAGGGACGAATGTACTTTCAAGTTCCTAATCAAAATAATAGCCAAGCAGCAAGCTTGACAGAAACAAAGAGAACTGGGGGCTGGTCTGAGGCATTTCACTAAAAGAAACAAAAACAATATCACGTCTGTTCTGAGACTTGTTACTATGATCATATTGGTGAAAAGCATTTAAACCTACAAGGCATTTATTTCCAGAAAAGCTTTCAAATCCCTAAAGGCCTTTTAGATCTAGAGAACTTGCACTGAACAGGCTGTTTTAAATAAAGGCAAAGGTTCCGGGAACTGACAATAAGTCATCTCCAAATTGGGTCTATTTTCTTCATTCTTTGAGCTGTTTTCAAAACCCAGAGAAGCACATGTCCTTCCCCTCTGGATTCTGAGAATTACAAATTTAGAACAGACTAGCACCTCATATTCTGGTCACACAAACTTAAACACTGAACGAAATTTGATCAAGAGAAAAAAAAAACATTGGTTCCTTCTAAGGCAAGTACATTGATATTTCAGGTCTGGTTACTAAGCCCCACCGATCACTCGAGTCTTTGATCTTCCCTCCAAACTCCTCTTCTGAGCCTCACTGTGTTCTTTGTGCTTTTAGCTGTGTCCTGTGGCTTATTCTAAACTGGAGCATCCTTATAGGCAGATCCATCCCTGATTCTTCCCAGTCAGCCCCAGTGCCCACCCAGCAGGGAACATTGCATAAATGAATTTGTTGAACGGACATGTCATTAGTGGAAATAAAGATGTTCACTTATAGCTCCTTCATGTCTTCAGGAACTGACCACGCGCATACCTGTCACCTGAGCACCTATAAAACTGTTTTCACCTTTGCTCCTTTTATTGAGCTCTGGAAACACCACTGACTCTAGTTTGCATTGGGAATTGAGATGGGAATCCTTTAGGCCCTGATTACTGTGAAGCCATTGTGTCTGATATCTCAGTGCGCCCATAATCTTATCCCAGATGTAATACACAAATACATGAAGAGCAGCTGTTTAAAGTCCCCAGGGGAATGGAATGTGCAGGGCTGGGTGGGACCCCCAGAGTACAATCTGAGACCTTTGGATCCACCAGACCCCAGCAGGTAAAGTTTTGGAATTGAAGGACTGACATTTGGAGAGAGTAGAAGTTCTGGTACCCAAATTACATTTTTTTTTTCCCTTACAGGGTCAATAAAACTAATAATTTGTTAAGTGGGTGAGTAAAAACAAATTTTTATGGTGTGGTCAGTGGTGGAGGAAGCTAGTTCTGATTTGGAATTCTTTTACCTAGAAAACAGCCCCAGGTCCTCCCAGCTGCCCTGGACAGCTAAGGACTTGTACCAAATCCTAAGACTCCAGAATTAGACCTGCTCCAGGGTTTGCATAACACCAGTCTCTATCAACAAAGCCATTCTGGGAAGCCATACTTACTGATAGCTTAACTTACTGATAGCATAACTGGCTCTATTTATTACTATTTAAAAAAAAAAGGTAGTGTGAAGCAATGAAGGCACAGTTATTCTTACACGTGTATATAAGTCACTGCCCAGCCCTGGCCCAGTCCATCATAGAGTTTAGTAAATGTTCTCCACATGAATATGTTCAATATTATACATGAATAAGAATAAGAATAATAGCTGATACATAATGAAGTACTTCCTCTGTGCCAGTGTCTGTTCTGAATGCTTTGCATATAAAACATCATTTAAAGTTCAAACAAGTCATCAGGAAGGCACAATGATTGTCCCCATTTTACAGACCAGAAAACTGAGGCAGAAGAGAAATTACATCTCTTAGCTCATTGCAATTGGTCACTGGAAGCAGAAGGATTCTAACCCAGGCAACTGGACTTTATCCAGGGCCCCTGCTTTAACTTTTCTGTAAGACACACACACATGCTCACTCTGTCTCATAATGAGGTATTTATATTATTAGCTTAGGCTGCAGGCACAGGGAGATTTCCCCAAATGAAAACACTCTCAAATACCACATAGCATGAGGGTGCAGCAGCCCATCCCAGGCACCAAAAATCATCCTACAGACTTGAGAGCAAGTGGGGTCCCTGACTCAGCAGTCGGTGAGAAGACTTCCACTAAAGCTACAGAGTCCCTATAAAAACTTGGGGCATCATACCCTTGTAGTGAGCCACTGACTCTTCTGCCTAATCAGGGAAATATCTCTGTGGTTTTTTTTTTTTTTTTAAATCTCTTTCCTCTCTAACTACCCATCTGTTCCTCTTACTCAGTGCCATGAAATTAACAAGTATTCACCTTTGTGAAGTCACTGCTATTTCTATAGGTGTTAATCCCAGGGGGATGAGCTACCCCTAGTGCTCCAGGCTACTTAGACATCTGACCCATATGTTTGCTTTGTTTTTCCCTTTTTAAAAAACTCCTTCAAGTTAATAAATTATAGTTATAGTTTTTTATTTAAAGGCAATAGAACAAAACAAGTTTGAATTATTTTCCCTTTAAGAGCCTAGCTCATTTATATATTTATATATTTACTTCATTCATTTATATGTTTGCTTCACTATAGGTTCTGACAAGTTTGTGTCATGGCAGTGCAGGTGTGGGAAACTTTCCTCTCAACCCCATTTCTTGCAATAATAATAATAAAACAAAGGAAATGTAACCAGTTACTGGCAAAGTAAATTGCTTTTGGCTTATATGCTACTGTTTTTTTCTACTGTGTTCTTCCTGTCATGTCTCTCTCTCTCTCTCTCTCTCTCTAACTCTCTCTCTCTCAATAACATTTATGCTCTTGGAAATACCACAAAGATAAACTGCTATAAAAGCTGGATTGACTCATCAGTTAGCAACTCTTTCTTCTCAATTTGCAGAGAAGATTTTGTTGCCAATACAGCTACATATTCTCTCCAGAAATTCTTTCTGAACTTCCACTCAGAGATAGGATTTGCTTGAGGGGGGTGCGGGGGCTAGAGTTAGGGAGATGAGAAGGCAGCCATCATTTTCCTGAGTTTGACCCCCAGGGTCAATGACCAGAGGAGTAACAGCACATTAACTCACTTGATTTGCTAACTGTGTGGGTATGTGTGTGTGTTTGAAGCACTAAACACAAGCCAGAAAAGTAAACTCCACTGATTGAATTATTAGGGACTGACAAACATTGTTCTATGTATAGGGT